TACGGCGCCCCGAGCTCCCTCCCTCGCTCCACCCCCTGGCGGCGGGAGGCGGGGAAGCCGAAGCGCCGGGACTCCAGGTTCCCGCAGGCGGCCGCGCGGCCGGGAGCTGCTGGCGGGGGTCGAGCTGCAGGCGGGTGCTGACGCCGCCGGGCGCCGGGGTGGCCCCAAGTGCCGCGCCGAGGGCCAAGGCCGGGCTCCGGGGCTGGGCTTCTGCCCCGGGTGCGCGGTTCCCGGCGCTGCGGTGAGTGCGGGCTGGGGCGCGGGGACTGCGGCGGGCTCCTGGCGACGGCGCTCGCTTCCGAGGACCGCGCGGTCTGACAGGGGTCTGGGCGCGACGTGGGGCGAGACGGTGGGCGCGCAGCCCGGCGCGGAGCGGAGGCGGGGCTCAGGTGGGGTCGCGGCGCTCCCGCGGGAGGGACGGATGCGGATCTGTGGCTGTCACCTTGAAAGTGACCCAGGGGGCTTAGAAGTAACTCGGCGGACCGTCAAGCGCTCGGGGTCCTCGGCAGGAAGCCGCCCCCGGGACGCCCGACCCCCCAGGGCCCGCAGCCCCTGGCTTCCAGCTGGGCGGTTTGCTTGGGCCCATTCTAGGCAAAAGTAATCAGCGCTGAAAACGTGGGAGCAGTGTGGTTGCTGCAGTTTCCTGGGTCCTCGCGCTGTGCCCTATTACTTCCTGCGTGGCACTCTGTAAGCTCTAGCAAAATCCACTTCTGACTAAGGTCGCTTCGTGGAGTGCTCAGTAGTACTGACTGTACCTTACTGGAACCCTTTCATGCTCTTCTTTACGAAATTTATCTGTTTGATTTTGATCTCTTATTTGAGGGTGAGAATGAAGAGGTTAATTTTCATTCAGCTTTCCGAGTTGCGCATACTTTACCAAATATAATTTAAGTAATCAGTGTTCTAAGAAAGGAAATCCAGTGTATTTTGTTTGTTTGAATAAAACTGAAATCTTGGGCGAAACAGGAGGAAGAAGGCTTTCATGTTTTGCCAGGTGATTGGAGTTCAGTCTTCCTTGTCCTGAGTCTCAGGTCTGGTGGGAGTGGGCGGGAGGGGATTCCAGGATGAGGGATCTCACTTGCGAGGGCAGAGGATTTAAAAAAAAAAAAAAAAAAAAAGTCTTTGCTCCCTGCAACCCAGTACCTCTTTAAGGAGTTTAAATACAGCCAGTTAACAAAGAGTGTGGATTCTCTGAAAAGAGCGGCATAAATAAAACTGCAATTCCACAACCTTTTCAGGGATGCTTAACACAAGTAGAATGGACCTTTTAACTTAAGATGACAATAATAACCAATTTTTGTATAGAATATTACCTTGTAGAGAAGTGCTGTTATACCATTTTTCTTAAGTACTGTATTATGTAAAAGAAAGTTCTACCAAAATAAGTTTGAGTTGTTTATCCTTAAAAAATAAAACTTAGGAGTGGACTTTATTTTAAAATAAATTACTTATGTAATTTGCACTGCCATTTCCCATCAGTCCCCGCCCCCCAGTCCTGATTGTTCCAGGGCCTCTAGCTTGCTAAGCACATGCTCTCACACGGAGGAATGCAGATCCCCTGGCCCCATGGCCTGTTCTTTTTAGAACCAGGTTTATGAGGGTGAGTAGTTCTTGGTGGAGATCTGCACCTTTTAAATAAATGTCAATAATTGAAGGTTAACTTTTGTAGTGTTTCCTAGGATTATGAAATTCTACAGAAAGTTCTTATAGCATTTCTTGGAAACTAAACTGCAGGTTTTAGACTAAAGCATTTAAAAATCATGTCACATAATTAGAGGTGGTGGTGCACATCTGTAATCCCGACACTCTGGGAGGCTGAGGCAGGAGGACTGCAAGTTGGAGTTCAGCCTCAACAATTTAGCAAGACCTTGTCTCAAAAATAAAAGTAAAAAGGACTGGGGATGTAGCTCAGTGGGAGGTCCCTGGGTTTTATCCCTAGCACCATACACAAAATCTAGTTCTTTTGGTTTTATTCATTTTTAATTGAACACTATTACCAGATTTTTCTCTTCACATTAATACTTTTTGATTGGTAAGACCCTTTTGTGGATTCTTAGTAAACATACATCATTTACATTGTAGATATTTTCTTCTGCAGATATGTTGTCTTTGCCTTATAAATACGTTTAGAATAGTGCTAGCTTACGGAAATACTGTTTTTCAATGTTGAATATGTTGGCTTTTTCAGAAAGAATTTGTAGTTTTTCTAAATCATAGTTTAAGAGCTATAAGTTTATATGGCTGTGGTAGAATACTTTTAAAAGAAATCTCCCCATTCTTTTCCAATCCTTTACAACTTCTGTGCCCTGGAGTAGAGACTTTTGCAAAACTTTAGCATTTGTTGATGAGAAATCCTTATGTATGGCAAGTATCATTAGGACCAACATTCTTTGAAGTCACAACCGAAAGTTTCAAATCCCAGGAATCGAGTCATTTAGATTTTTATTCTGCAATTATGTAAATTGGGCATATAATCCATTTATCTCCATTCATCTACTTGTAGCAGTTCATCTACTTGAGCTGGCCTTGAGCTCAATTTGAAGTCTAGGCTGGCCCTGAACTTGCAAGGATCCTGCTGTCTCAGCCTTGTGAGGGCTGGAATTGCAGGTATGCACCACAACACTGGCCTTTAGAGTGGTACTTTAACAGATTTAATATTCATTATTGTTTTGTATGCTGAATTATTGATGAATCTTAAAGTCCAGATACATGTATGTATATGTAGTGTAGTTTGAGGCTTTTCCAAAATTACTTTCAATATTATGATTTTAAATTATTTGAAGGAAACAAAAAGTCTCACTAATTTCCCAAATTTGAGCTCTCTCTCCATACTTTGGAAGTTTAAGTTTTTATTACTTATTTTGTCTGTTTGAGACAGAGTCTCTCTGTGCAGTTAAGGCTGGCCTTGAGCTTACTTTGTAGCCCAGGCTGATCTTGAACTTGCAACAATCCTCCTGCCTCAGCCTCTGAGTGCTGGGATTGCAGGCATGTGCCACCATGCTTAGCATCTGGAAGTTTAAATTCTAAGATGTTATCACTGAACAAAGTCAGTTTTCTATCAGAGCCCAAGTCCTTTTCTTGGCTTCTCACTCTTTAAGCCTAAGGATGTACTTGAGCTGTGAAGTTGAGGTTGCTGTTAGGTAGTTGGGGACAAGGAGGCTTAGGCCAAGGTAATCACTTAGCTGTCAGGTGCTTGGACAGTGGCCTCTGAGGCCTCCAGTGGACTTCAGCAGTAGTGACCAGAGTTAGGACATCAGCCTGCAGGAACAGGGAACTAGGTGGTGTAGTATAACCTTAGCCTGCCTGAACTGTACTGCCAAAAAGGTTCTCTGGCCAGATGTCTCCATACTTGGCTTAGGACATTAAATTTGGCTAGCAGATGAATTTCTGAAGTTTTATAAGAATACCCAGATAATTGTGTGTGAGTGTGTGAGAGAGGTTGGGGGTTTTGGGGTGCCTACCAGTGCCTTGCATGTGGTAGGCAAGTGTTCTATGTTTTAAAAATAACTAGTATGCTTTGAAATCAGTACTCTTTCATGCAGGCAGTTTTCTATAACAATCGTAATGTCTGACCTTTTCTTGTTCACTTGGTCCAAACTGAATTAAAAAGATTTTCCATTTTAGGAGTGACAGAGAGGGTCTAGATTGGCTTCATCAACCTTACACAGTGCTGGAATTCTGATGCCTGGCAAAGTGAAGGTAGTCTTAATGGCAATTTCTCTTGAGGAAATATGCTTGCTGTGTTGACTCAGAGTTGACTAGAATCTTTTGACGGGTAAAAGAAATACAGATCTGAGTTTCTCAAACCAGCTAGGAAGGACAGGGGCTGCAGGGAAAGGACTTTCAGGGAGTGCAGTTGTGCCTGAAGCATCTCCACTCTCACGTTTTAGAGAGGGGTGAGGTGGGGAGGGGCAGGGCATTTGGTGCCCCAGGGGCCTTGCTGCCAGGGGGAGAGGCAATTTGAGGACACTTGGGTTTGCTAAGTATCATGTCTTGGAAAGGGAATTCCAAATTATGTTATCTTATCATTTTTTAAAAATGCAGACTTTGGTGGTTTGTAAATTAATTGTATTTTAAGTTAACGCAGAAGAAAGTCATAACTAGTGCTCGAAGGGCAGTCAATCAAAAGGCCTTGATCTTCCACACTAACAAAAATGCTTCAGGAAATTTTGTGTCCTAAATTGACATTGAGGAAGGAATCCTCTGGGAAATATACACATTTCTGAGAAGAGTAGGAAAAGAGGTGTAAATATAGTATATATTCTTATGTAAATAAAAACATAGTTTAAATAACATTTATAACACTATTCATTAAATCTTTACTACTGAGTGTTAGTTTATCGTCTATACTATTTCCACATTGGAAACTTGGTAATATTTAACTCAAGTGTTATTTACCCATATAGCCGTCCTGAAGGAAAAGTCAATATTTTATCACCTTATTTTAGATAAGCAGTTCCTGTGAGGTGTTTAGTGACAAATGAGAAGTTAATTTTCTTTTATGTTTATCTTGTGGATTTCCTGATGATTGTTACAAATTAATGATACCAACTTGAAACTGTATGTCCTTTTTTGGGGAATGTTCTTTTCTTGAGACAAGAGTCTCACTACGTAGCACAGACTGGCCTTGAACTCACTTATGTAGCCCAGGCTGGCCTTACACTCTCAGTGGTCCTCCTGCCTCAGCCTCTTGAGTTCTGGGATTACAGGCATGGGCCACTGTGCCTACCTTAACTATATGTCCTTTTAAACAGCTCACTTAGCTAGTTTCATCAACTCAAAATAGAACCCAATATAGATACTAACACTCTAAGAGATAGCAGACAAATATAGACCATGTACTTTTTCTGTTTCTGTGACAAGGTGATTGAGATATATTTGCCAGAATACCAGTTAAATTGCTGTGCTTTAAGTGTCTCGTTTTTTATTATGTAGTAAACTGTTGGAATCATTCCATTCTTAGGCACATTATATAATTCAGTCATACTTGCCTGTTACTACTCAGCTCACACCAATACATTTTATTTTTTATTTTATTTTATTT